TTATCTCCATATTAGATTTATAGCAAATCTAGTTATTATTTATTTACACTTTTGCCGATAAAAAAAAATTTACAGTCGTAACTTATAAAAAAAATAATTACATGACCGGGGCTAGAAGAAGAAAAATTTAGTCTTATCATTAAGCCCCAAATCTTATCATTAAGCCCCAATCTGATAAAACTGAAAAAGGATATCTCCAGATAGGTTTATTCTTTTCTTCAAAATTTTTCCAGTTTGCTCAAAATACATTGGAAGAGGAATGGTAGCAGAATAAACATTTTTGCTTGATATTAAGTTTTGATTTTTGTCATCACTCAACAAGACCTACCCGGTAAAACTAGTAACTATTATAGCAATGTCTATAGCTTTAGAAATATTCCATATGGATCAAAGAAATATACTAAAATGGATAAAACTGCTAGGGTACCAAAGTTAACATATAAGTAGCTCAAATACCAAAAGGCATTTACTTTCTGAGAAATACTTTTTTTAAACAACATGCTAAAACCGAAGAAATCTAGAATAAATGAGGGCACATTTCAAAACTTAATAATTTAGGGGCCCTTTTCAAAACTTAAGGAGCTTTATTTCTTTACATTGGTAGTACTAAGTGGAAAAATTGTTTAGGTTTTAGGGCCCTAATCAAAATTTTTTTTTTTTCTTTGCGTTGGGAAGGTGGGGGGGGGGGTGTAACACAGTAGTCAACTGAGCTATGATATAGCGAAATTATTTCTAGGGACTTTTTCAGTCATTTTGGTTAAAAATAGTTAAAATTAGAAAAAAAAATTATTTTAAAACAAAACAAAAAAAAAAAGCAGTAATATGACAAAAAACATTAAAAAAATTCATCAAAGACATAAATTAGCATAAATTATGTTTATTCTAGCTAAGTCAACTTGAAAGTACTTTTAAATAATAAAATGGAATAACTACGCTAAAAACTGACTGTCATTCACAAATTTCTTCAAAAATTATAGTCAGTAAAACTCAAAGGTCATTTTCAAAATCAGATTCAGAACCCCCAACTACTTGCAAGACAGGAGGTAAAAGCAACTTCCTGATTTCATCGGATATAGGTTGTGAATGACACTGTTATTTTTTGTGTTTTGTTGACAGACTTCTGATCACAGGGTCACTTGAATCAATCAAAAGCAAAAACAAGTCTTTTAAACCATCAGTCCATGAAGTCTTCCTGGCATGGTCAGATCTGGTCAAGCGCATGAAAGAATGGCGGGTTTCTCCTTGCTCTTCATTTGTCAATCCTATAGGTAGTGGACAGTTTTCAACCAAAGCCTTACCATGACAGAGAACTTTGTGAAGAGTTGGAGTGATTGGAAATTAATTGCAATGATTAAAGTAGATTGCCTTAGTTTCATCACAGAGCCTACCAAATGCTTCAGCATCCAAGGCAAATCCACAAGCCAGTGCGCCCTAAATAATAGCCAAGTTTTGGACAAGAGATTCAGGAATACCACAAATTTGAGCTGTGACCACTGAAAAGAAGTAACTAATTTTGAAAGGTCATGGCTACAATCATGAACCAATTTCTTTTTGATTGCATGATTGTACAGGAATATAATAGAAAAAAGTTGCCTCAAATATTTGGCATGCAGGAAAAAATTATGAAAATATCAAAGTACATTTTTCTAATTCTCATGATCTTAAGATACCTGGGTTTTGAAATGCTACTCTTGCACGATTTCCTGTTGTTGTTGTACCAGCTCCACTATCTCTGCGTTGGTCCACATTTAAACCAAGGTAGTTCTTGAAATCTTTCTTGACTTTTTCTTCTCTTACTTTCATTTAGGCTTTTTCTTCCTCTGAATACCTACAGTGAGATTTCTTCAAATCTTGTTTAAAACCAAGATGCAGAATGGCCTTGAAGGAGAAAATTCCAAAATGCAAAATACTTGCTCCATGTTCCAATGCTCCATCTTTGACAGAAAAATTTTCAGATGGATTTGACATTTATCTTGATAATTGATGGCATAAAGGGCAATGGCTAGCTGATGCGCAGGAAGTCAGTTGGTTTAGGTCCTTCCCATCAATCATGGAAAAGATACCTTTGTATTTCACAACCAACTGTGAAATAAATAGCTACAATAATTATCCCTGAAGTTCCTTGTATGACTATTTTTTTACAGGTCTTATAATGGTGAGAAAAATATTGGAGTGATTTACCTTTGGAGAATCCACCAGAATAAGATCTTGAAGGTTGAGAATCTCTTCACAGCTATTTCACAAGATAGGTTTTCTTTAGACTCAGGTCCAATTGCTATTCTGATAGGACGACAAGAACTGCCATTGTTAGCATCCTTGTTGTTGTAAAAAATCATATCTTTGTTGCTTTCATCTCTTGCTTAAAGTGGAATCATTTGTGAGACAAGGTATGTTTTGCCATCAGGAACTTTCCCACTTTCATCCTTTTGATGGAAGGTAGCAAATGAACCAACTCCATCTAGGCCAAATTTGACAGAGACACTGTCCTTCAGCCGTACAAGTAAGAAGGCATCTTCCAGGAATATCCTAATTTAAAGGAACAAATGGTTCAATGGGAAAGTTGATTTTTAGGACCTATAAATTTATAAAGTTTTTAAAACCTGTATGCTAGTGTAATTTATGTTGTTGAGTTTAAATGTTGATAATTTAGTTGGATTAAATAAGGAATTATAGAAAGATCTACAAAGTATAAAAGGTAAAAGTAGGCTAGAGAAAATATAGATTCCTTCTTTTACCTTTTTACTGTATGGTTCAAAAGATTTTGAATTGGAACTTTTGCTGTCAGTGCATCTACTTCGATTCCATCAGGTCTGCAGTCTTTTTTTGTTTCAAGAACCTGAAATCAAATTTACAGACCTCAGTTGAAATTACATCAGCAAAAAATTATTAACTATTCTTGTTATAATTATTAACTAAAGAGTCAATTAATATGTTTCACTTACAGCATTATAATTTGGCCAGATGTTAGAAAAGTTTTTAGCACATTCCTCTTTTAATTGGCAATATGTTCTCTTGGAAATATTGTTGTTGAGGATGAAGGCAAGGGCAGCAGTTTGTGTTTTTAGGACAGGCATCTATAGAGGAGGTTTCAGAGCTGCCTTCAAAGCTTTGTTGACAACCTCTTCAGGCTGATTTAGTAGTTTGCGGACCATAAACCCCAGTTTTGATGGAGATTGAGCTGCAGTTAACAAGATAGCACTATTTTCATGATTGGCACGAACTTCTGCACTTGAAAGTTGCTTCCCACGGAGAGATTTCTGTTCAAAATCTTTTGAAGGTCGTCCTACCCTTGATTTTTTTGGTGAAGATGGGTCCCTAAAAAAAGTAATTAGTTATCAAAACAATCCTTTCATTGATAGCATCACATTACATCACATTACATTATAAGAGAAGAAAAAAAAGTAAATTTAAGAGTATAATCATTGCAGAATTTTTACAAATAAAGTTAATCTTGATCAATTAGATTTTTTTCACCTAATAATTCTTACCATTTTATAAACATTGATGACTGAACATTGCAGTTTAATGTAAAGAATAAAAAGAGCTAAATGTTGAGTACAAACACTTTAAAATCGGACGAAAAATAAAAAAGTTATGCACTTTTAAAGAAACGTATAAAAATCAAGTTCTGTTTCTATTTACGGCCGACGATAAAATTTTGGCGCTATCGGAAATTTTGTGCATGTTCGGATTAACCAGTTTTTTGACGTACACATACAAAAGTGTCAGGTTTCAAATTTAAAAATATCTTTTTTGCGGAAACATGCAGACACAAATTTTTCATTGGCTGAAAGAAGAAAGATTTAACTTTCAAAAAAATACTTTTTAATTTCAACACTTTACAACAACGTTTTAAAAATAATTACTGAAATTATGATGAAAATATTGTACTTTTCAAAATTCTATTTTAAGCTTGTTCAAAACCAAAAATATATACTTATTTCTAATTTTTAATAAAAATCTATGATTTTCCATGCAAGAAAAAAATTTGTTTACAACGCCATCTGGTGTCAAAAAAATATTTTTGGAGACAAAAGAAACAAAAAATATTTTCTAATACTTTTTTAACTTCAAGTTTGATGATTAAGGAAAGCATTAAAAAGGCTCAATTGGTTTTTTTTAAACTTTTTATTTTTTGAATATTTTCGCCATATCATAGCTCAGTTGACTACTGTGTGGGGCTCCAATCCACTTGCCACGGCACTGGTCATACGCACGTTATTTGGATGAAATAATAAATTACAAGAAATGCTATTTGCAATAAATTTTATTAAGGATACAACTGCGTTATCTATATTTACTACTGTGAAATCATACTATACAAATAAAATATTTCTTTGAATATTATCGTTGATTGCACTTATGAATTATTTTACTAACAATCGAGGTGTAAGTGGGCGTTAGGTATGAAGGTTATAGTAGGTTGAATACTCCTGTTTTCGGTGATCATCATTTTTATAAATTGGAAGAATGTTAGCTGATTTAAGTACATCAGGAAATATTCCTTGATCTAAAGATTTAAGTTTACTATATAGAACGACGGTCTACTCATCTTTTTTTTATTTTAAATAAGTATATTTTTTATTATAAAATAAAAAAAGGTATATTATCAAATCCTGGCAGTTAGTTAATTTTTATAGAGGAAAAAGCCGCTTCAAATTCTTTTAACGTTGAGTCAAAATCATACAATGCTGTTCTAACGGTTTCATATACAATTTAAAAGAATTAGTTGGTGTAATTTTGTTAGCAAGATCAAGTCCTGCATTTGTGATATATATATATATATATCTTCAAATATTTGTTTAGAAAAGAATATATTAGTGTTATTGATATTTATTTTTTTTGGTAGTGCAAAGTTTTATTATTTCCCACTAAACCATTGATTATTGACCTTGTTTTTTAACTTGCATTTGTTTACTGTAATATAAACTTTGGTTGAAAATAAATACAAAAGTTTGTTTATTGAAGAATTTGTTTAATAAAAATAATTTTAAAACACATTTTCAAAAACTTTTTTATTGAAATCAAAAAGATTTACAGGTTTAGAGTTTTAATCCAAGTATAAAAATGTGTATGAAATAGAGATTTTAAATGATCCTCGCTAAAAACATATTTTAAATTTTAAACCAACTTTTATTTAAGTATGCTACTTTTATATACTTTTCATTTTAAAAAAGCTTAACTAACATTGAGTGTCGTAAAACTAATTACATTAAGGTAACAATGAATCTTTATATAAACATTTCAGAAAAAAATAAAAACAAAAAAAAAGGTATAAAGGGCTATAGGTTTATAGGGTCTGGGTTAAAAGTCTCGTTATTTGTGTTCATGAAAAAAAAATTGCCGCTTTAAAAGTTAAAGTTTTATCTCAAACAAAAAATGCAAAACACAAATCATTTTAAACCACAAAAAACTATTGATAACATCCGATCATTGACTGGATCATTAAGTCATAACATAAAATTTGTATTTATTTTAATTCTTTTAAGCACTTTGCACATGTATACGTTTAAATAAGGCAAATTTATATTATATTGATGACATAACACAATAAAATCCATATTGCATAAGTGCTTGTAATGATGACAATGTTATTTAACTAACAAACACGGAATTAACAAACACAGAATTCTTTTTACTTCCGATGTATTGCTTTTTATTTATTTGCAACTTTTGCAACAAAGAAGGAAAATCTCGTATGAATCAGCACTTTGAATTTGCCTAAAAACGAAAATGTTATAAAATAAATATTTCTTTTGAAACATTAGTATAATTAATGTAACAAATTAAGTGTATTCCAAAACAGATTTTACATTAGACGGAAAATCTACACTCAGTAAAAGTAATGACATTAAATTTATAATATCAAATTTTAGTTTAGTTTTAAAATTGTATACAAATTATTATCCATTTTGGGTTCACCACACGGGAAAAAAAATGATCACAAAGGTTATAACATGGAAGTATAAAACAGATGGAAGTTCAATCGCATTGAAATTCTTTCGGACTATGCTTGTAACCTTTTGTTTCGTAAATAAAAAGAAAACGACATCAAGACTGCACTTAAACGCCCAATCTTTACAAATAGGTACGTTTATAATAATTTAAATATATAGTATTTTGAATGTTCGCCAATATTCAAATGTAAACATTAAAAATGGCGCAACAAAACGGCAAACAACAACATTTTTATAAACTTCATGTTAAATGGAGTACTACAAGAATGAATGGAATTATGATATACAGCTAATGAAACTTTAAACTTTAGTAATTTAGAAAACAATTTTTTTGATTTTTTAAAAATTGTTTTAGTTGTCTTTTTAATCAAGTGTCGTGTTATGACTTGAAGCAAGAAAAGAAGCTTAAACTAACATATGCTTTTAAAATAAAGTGGTTCTATTTAATTACCGAGTTTTAATAAACCTTTTGCTGAATAATTGCAAATACTAATGGATAAAACTTTGCAGCATATCCCTAGAAATCTTTTTTTAATGTTTAAATAAAAATCATTTCAGTGAAAATTTCAGTGAAAATTTCAGTGAATTTTGTTGTTTTTTGTCCAGTGAAACTTATTTTTTTTTTTATTGTCGGTTACAAGAATACTCCCGAGACGACTTGAAATTGCTTTGATGTTTGCGGCTCAATGAACTTCCATCTGTTTTATACTTCCATGGTTGGAACAATACAAATTTTTTTAATAGATTGTAAGAACTTGACGAGATATATATATATATATATATATATATATATATATATATATATATATATATATATATATATATATATATATATATATATATATACACACATTATAAATGTGGCCATATTTCGCGACGGTAAGAAAGGAGGCGTGAACCTTCTGGTTAAATGCACTTCCGCGGTGCTCTGTGACATGGGGCACCTAAATAAAAAAATATATGCAATACACACAATATTAAGATTCGTAACTACTACAGCGGTTAAGGATTAAAATGGTTAAAGTGTCTTTATTAACGGTAAGCTATAATTTTCTGCTGCCCAATCTATAAAGTCGAATTCTTAAATTTTAAAATAAGAATTATTAAATTCTTAAAATAAGAAGCAAATCTTAAAGGATGCTTACTGCTCAGATCAGTTATGCAGCATAACAATCTTTCTTTTCTGGATGATTGTTTTGTTTATACCTTGAACAATATTTATAAAAGTATTGATAAGCAGTTTCGACAGTTTGTTCACTATAGGGACCCAAGGAGGATCCTTTACTACTGATGAAATCTTTTATGCGGCAGAAGACGGTGTGAATTTTGGTAACGCTTGCACCAGTTATCATTAAGTAGCACCTTTCGAAATTTTCAATTATTTAAGCAAAATCCGGCTAAAAGATAAATTCAAAGCTTTTGTGAAACTATTGAATGAACTAATTGTTAAAAACTAATTGAAGCTTATTGAAAATATTGAATTCTTAAATTAAGAGAAGCATGTTGGGAACCGAGATCTTATCACAAGATGCTGGAGCACATCCACATTTTTAAGAAGCTTCCTGCATTCGATCTCCTCGAACTGGCCCCATAATACGGGCAACTTTCTTATCGCAAACCAAAACTTATTTAACTCCAATTGCATTATTCAGTGATTAGATTTTTTTCAAAGATGGAGAGAGTCTCTGGAAAATCTTCTGATAACCCACAAGAATTTGTCTCTTAAGTCCAGTGTCATAGCCAGTCCTTTGAATGGGAGGTTATTTTTCAGACTGTGAGCTGGTATCAACCATTAACGCTTTATCATTAATGTTTAGATAAAACTTAAGAAAACCTTTACCACCATCAATCTAGCTTAACAAAACATCTACTAGAAGTTTGCAAGACTGAATAACATGATTTACAAGAATTGACAAACCATTGCAGTGAGCAACAACTCGAACTGTACCAGAATCTCCTTTTCCTTCGGTAATACACTGCAGTGCAATTCACAAAAGTTACTGCAATGAAGCAAAAATCACAACAACTCACAAATGTCACTGTAGATGAAGAAATCACTCAAGGGTGCTCTAAAGAAATTCTTATAACATTTTCTCTTAAGAACTTAAAAAAAGTGCTCTTAAGAAATTCTTATAAAGATTTGTCTCTACCATCTTACTGCTTGATGTTTATCTCTACCATCTTACTGCTTGATGTTTGGTTTACAGTTCTAATCAGTTTCTTTAATCCGTTGTTTGATCAGTCCCGTATTTAATTGTACATTAACAAGAGTCAGAGAGTCAATTTCAGAGCGCTTGATAGTGGCTGGGCTTTTCTTTGACCTGAAACCAAAACATACATATTTTATCTTTGAATTAAACTTTGTTCAGAAAGTTTAAAACTTTTAAATTATTTGTTTTAAAAGTAATTCTGAGATTATCTAGGTCATATTTAAAAACTCCGGAACACATTTTGGAAAAAAAAAATGTTTTGCCCTCATATTTGTCTTAAATTAACTTAAACTAGTGGCTTTCTCAATTTTTTTGAACTTTTTTGTATAGGTATGACTTAAAAAGTTTAGAAACATCATGTTTAGGGTTAGGGTTAGGTTTAGTTATTACTTAGGGTTAGGGTTAAAATATATACTGCAATATATAATATATTGCAGTATATATTTTAGGTATAAAAATTTACTTAAACTTGTGTTTACGGAAAACGTTTTGGAAATCCGGAAAAACTAAAATTTAAAAGATATATCCAGAATTCCAGTTATATCCGAAAAAAAGATGATCCCTGAGTGATAAGAACCTTGTCGCTTTTTTTGAAGATTTTTTTGAATATATATAAAAATTGCTTAATCATAAATATTTACCTGGGGTAATTGCAAATGGAGGCCCACCAAATGCATGTTGAATAAATCCTTCAGGGGATAAATCTTTATTGGAAATAACTCAAGATACAATTTTTTCAGTTGCTCTGGCATTTTGCTACTAAAGATTGAAGGTTTTCCCTGAACTTTATTTATTAGCATTGTTGGGGCAAACTTTTTCCTAAAAAGCAGAGGCATGGACTGCAATATACATTTGCTTTGTTCTCAATTGTGGTTTGCTCTTCAAGAGGATGCTTGCAGCCTTGAATAACCAATATGGCATATTAGGCTATAATACCTCGTGCCTCTTGTTTCAGATCTCACTTGTACTGAATTGAAATTAAATAAAGGAGGGAGTATAAATTCTTTCTCCTCTTGTTTACTGCAAAAAATTGTTCTACACGATTCGCAGAGTTCTTGTGGTACCCAAGAATCACTGGTATTGATCTTTGTCTCGTACAGTTGGCATTTTCGATCTGCTTGGAAAGCAGTAAGTTGTCTTTTTGTTAGACAGAGCAAGCACACTAACTTTCAACTTTCATGGTGAACTTTTGCTTGACTTAGCATTGTGAAAATTTATTAAATTAAACTATCCCTTTTATAAATTTAACCTGAATTTATATTGGATAACAATCCATTAACAAATTACTTAAATTACAAGCAAATAATTCTTACATAACTCTTTCCTTTAAAGGAAATAATTATTTAAATTAATGACATTTGTCATACTTATTGACAATTTGGATAAAATTTTATTAGATAACACATTCCTACATAAAATTTTTACTACAAATTCTTCTTCAAAGCACAATTCTACCTTTCATAAGACTGGCCCTCCAAAATTTTTATTTGTCAATTATTTTAGTTATCTAAATTTTTTTTTTTTTTAATGTAGATATCTTTATAAAAGCTTTTCAACCATTTTTTAACATTTTCATGCGCTTTAACAGTAGCTTATACCTTAGAAAATGGTGATATTTTCACGAAATACATAAACCAAGTCAAACCACACTTTAAATAGCAAATCAATATTTTGCTCCATAAAATGAAAATGGTAGTTTCATTTTATAGAGGTAGCAAAAAGCAATTATAGCAAAAAATGTTAATATAGCATAGTAGGACACTCATGCAGGCATCGGCAAGAGTGGCGGGCGATCCAACTCTATGCGCGACCAAGCCTTAAATATTTAGTTGCAACAACTTGACCACGACTTTTTACACGTTTGATAACGTAATTAAACATCTGAAAAGCCTTGGTCAAGTTATTGCAATTATATATTAAAGGCTTGGTCACGCAGAGATTTGGATTGGATAACCATTATTTTGAAAAGGAGCAAAACTAACAGAATAAATTAAAACTGCCATAAATTGAGTAAAAACCAGTTAAGAAATCTGGCTGAAATTTTATCCAGAGTTTGGTGAGGCCATATGCTACATATGAAACCAATTTTTATCAAATTAAATAAAGTGGTTCTCATTTTACAGATGTTTTTATAGTCACACTATAAAGTCAAACTTTCACTTAATTTGAACATTCAAATTAAATTATTTTTCGTGGACAAAACTAAAAGATTTCATAAACAATATGCATCACAAGGTACCTTGATGTGTACGCAAACACTATATATAAGTGGCGTTCTTGGGTCAGCTAGGTTGGCATTAACAGGATCTGTGCTAACCATATCTAATAAAATTTTAGTATTAAAAGTTATGACCATGTAGAGTTGCTTGCTTATGGAATCACATAGGATTATCATTTCTGTTAGACTTTAGGCTGCTTTTAACAAGTAATGGAAACAGTAATGCAAAAAAAAACTTATAAAAACATGCAATACAGTTTTCTTTAAAATGAACAATAAAAAACACAATATTTGATGATGAATCTTAAAATTTTAATTGTAACGGTTCTAATAAAATTATAGAAGTGTGGGAAAAAGCTACATATGAGTTTTTTTCAATTTTTTTTTTTAGTTTTATTATTTATTTGTTCTTAACTCTATAACTCTAGAATATGACCCTTAACAAACAAGGATTGAAAACAAGGCTGTTCCGCTAGAAAAAAAATTTGCCAAGGTACTTCCAAGGGTATGAATTAAGTACTTCTTGCTTATAAAACATAGATAATTAATAAAGTCATTAAAAAAAGAGAAAATAATAATAAATACCATCACTACAACATACCGTCAAAAGTGCAAGACTATTTTCAGGCGTGTCATCTTTTTTAATTTTCTTTATACTACTAAAACTCTAAACGTAAATAAAAATGTATATGTGCACGAATGTATTTACATATGTATATAATATAAATATATTTACAATTCTTAAATCATACTTGTCTACTTTTTTTGCTAAATGAAAATCTGGAGGAAATTGAAGTAGAATTAATTCGGCTTTGAAGTAAATTAAGATCTTTATCTTCACCAAATTTACAGCAAAAAAAATCATACCAAGCTTTTCGAACCTGAAGTAAAATTAAATATTGTAAACAGAAAAAAAAAGTTCAATTAATTATAAATTCTTATTCTAATAGTTTTAACTATTGATACTGTTAACTGTTATATTATTTTATAAAATTATAAAGAAAAAATATTTTTTGTGTTTTTAAAACATTTTCAATTCTTTTTATTATTATTTTATTCAATAATTTCTTTTAACATAATTTACCATTATTTATTTTATTTACAATTATACTTTTGAAACAGTTGTTTTTAACTTTAAATTATTTTAAGCTTTGTTAAGCTTTGTTCTTCAAGGTTTGCGTTCCAATTAACATTATAAGTAAAATTAAAAAAAAACTGAAAAAAAGAACCTCTGTCACTGTTAACTGTAGCAGCTTTTTGGATTTTTTAGGAAGTAAACATATAAAAATAAACATAACTAAACAATGTGTATTATATATTTTTTTAAATGTCTTCATTTTCAACAAGACTGCAAGCAACCCCTATTAGAACCGGAAGTTACTGAAAGAGAAAAGATGAAGTTTATAAAGCAAGATAACAATTAACAGACAACTTAAAAGATTGCAAATCATATGAATCAAGCAAATTCCAAAGAACTGATGTTCGAAAAAAAAAAATAGTCAAAAAAGAATTTTGGGAGCACTTAAAAACAGTTACAGTAAAAGAACAGACTTAATTGAATAAGGAGTAACACAGTAATGAATTTTAATAGATGGCACAAAAGACGCTTCCTCATAAGAGCAGCACTCATTATAGTATTTATAGAAAAGAGAATAAGAAGCAACATTACAATGATGTGACAATGGTTGAAAGTTGGCTGCAAGAGCAGGTCTAACTATGCTCATGAAGGATAAGAGATTTATAGAGATAAAGAATAGAATCCTGAGTAAGAAAGTGGCAAGCACAATAAAAAGATGTAACTTTAGCAGGTGCTAATTTTGAAATGGATTTGATATCTGGTTTCCAAGAAGGATTAAGTTAATCCTAAAAGACAAAGTGTAGAAGACTCATCGAGTATTTTACCATTTATTATTATAGTAAGATCTAAATTATTGTGATAACAATTAGCTGGAAAAAATTGAGTTTTATCTGATTTAAAGTTCATTAGCCCACAAGAGCCCCATGCTTTAATATAAGTAAGATCTTTTTCAAGCTCAAATGCCCCCTCCATGCAATCAGAGAGTTCGGCCTCCTTAGATGTAAGAATTTTAGGGAAATTGTTAATGTAAATGAAAAAAAGTAGAGGGCTAAGGATAAAACCTTGAGGAACAATAGAGTTACAGGAAATAAAGAAGAGTGCTGTCCATTAAAGACTACTTTTATATTACAAATGGTAAAGAAAGACTTAATAATCTTAAAGATGTTACCTGATACACCCTAAGAAGAAAGTTTATGGAGAATGCCAAACTTTGATAAAGTTTGGCATGCAAAGCCCTAATCTCTCTACATCTATCTAATGCACAATAAAGCCTATTGATTATTACTGTTAGCAAATCAGCAGTAAAACAAGAAGATCGAAAAGATTCAAAAGCCTTGCTCATGATAGTATGAAGACAGGGATAACAGATGCCGCTTTCCAGTACACTAGAAACACTTTGAACACTTCTGCCAGACTATAACATATATGTCTGGACCACAAGCTGTAAAAGAAAATCACTATAGATACAGAAGCTGGAGTGATACGAATTTCAAGCAATAGATCAACCTGTTTGCTGACTATGTGACAGGGTGGTCACTCAAATTTCATGACTTTTCCATGACATTTCCATGACTCTTCATAAACCTCTATGATAAACCACTAGAGTAAAATATTAAGTACTTGTCATGCAATTAGCTGTTGCCACTTGGTCACTAAAAAACATGCAGACCAAAAACTAATTGCCAGAAAGTTCTGAAATCATGTCTGTAAAAAACTCTGATGTTTGCATCATAACTGACAATTGTTAAAAAAAAAACACATAACCTTTTTAGATACCAAGTAGCATGGAGAGGTAAATTTTAGGTACCAAATAGCATAAGAGCGCAAGGGGAGTACTAGGTGTTTTACTCTAACTTTAATTACAGTCGATTACTGTAATTAGAATTAACTCTAATTACTAGCTAACTAATTAATTTTAATTATAATCTTTTCACTTGTTGAGTTTTACCAGACTTTTGAATTCGTTTATTAAGTTATTTAAAAAAAATTTATTTAAACCAGTAAAAACATTGTTTCTTAAATATTTCTCTTTATTTTAAAGTTAAAATAATTGTATTTAATGTGATATTTTAAAAGTTGTGAGTACCAAACAAATTCTTAACCATGTTACTGAAATGTGATATTTCATTTTAGTTATGGGGAAAAAAAAAGAATTGTTACCACAAAAAATTGGCCAACCAGTACACTTTTAACAAATACTAATTGCCATAAATTTTGGTATTTTGAGGGTTTCCGTACAAAATATGCACAACAATGACTAATGTGGGGAAGTTGATACCAAAGAGGGTTGGTAAATGTGGAAAGACGAGAATCCTAACACCATGCAAGTAATGAATAAAAATATTGTTCTAGAAAATAGGCGGTCCACCAATAATGAAATAACTGAAAAGCTTATCCAATCTGAAGTCAAAATGTCAAAGAGAATGGTTCAACATCTCCTGCACAATCTTGATTACATTTCACGATGTCCAGCTAAGAAGCCTAAACTGACACCAAAAATAATGCAAAAAAAGTGGGCAAAAAAACAACAACAGGAATTTAATGAAAGTTAGAAATCAATAAAATTAATTCAAATGATTTTAAAATATGCACTTTCTTCAAACTTTAAAGATTTATTTAATTGTTAATCCTTATATAATATTTTGAAGTATGCTTTAGCAACGAGAGTACTTTTCAAGTGTTAATAAAGAAGGCCTAATATGTATTGAACTGCATCATTCAAATTGTTAAACACTCCACCTCTGTAATGATTTGGTCAGTAATATATGGAAAGGGGAATGGGGATGCTCAATAAAGTTGTGGCAATAATGAATCAGCTGCAATATAAAAAAGTCCTGAAACAAAGATTGTTACCATAATTGACAGAATGCTTTGATTCATGTGAAAAAAAACCTCTATGCAGAACGGGGCACCATGTCATATGGCTTAAGCAATTAAAAAATAACTATCAGAACAGAATATTCCATTACTTGATTGGCCAGAAATCTCTCCTGAACTATGTCCTATAGAAAATGTTTTGGGTGTTCCTAAAAGAGAAAATATTCAAAGAAAATATTACAAATAAATTGTATTTAATAGAAAGAATTATTCACCACTAGAACCATAATGAAAGATTGCAGAAAATGGCTGAAAAATGCATAAAAAGTATGCAAAAAAGGGTACTTGCTATTATAGAGGCTAAAGGGGGAATCACCAAATATTGATATTGAATATATTTTTAGTAATTTAATATATTTGTAATGATAAAATTTAGTACCAATTTGTTTTTATTTGGCAATGTTTAAGCATGGTTTCTTTAAAAGTAATTGCAACTGCAATCAGTTTAAGTAAAACTTTGCATGCTTTGTTAACCCATGCAAAAACCATGCTAAAACATATTTACTATCTTTGATAGCATACTTAGTTATTTTACTTATTAGTAGCGCTATTGAAAGAAATAATTATGTTTTAGCATAGTTTCATTTAAAGTCTTTAAAATGTGTTTTAAATTTTAGTAACTAACTGTTTTTTTATCATAAATATGTGTTTTTTTATAATAAATAAAAAACTATCAATCGCATAAATCTTTGGAAAAAAATTTGAAGTAATGCGTGTGTTTTTGAAAAATTTAAGCAAACACCAACGTTTACATATGCAAAAATATAGAAACATGACGATCATTTTTCTGTCCTTTTTTTAACAAAAATTTATTATATTTACTTATTATATTGCACTTTATTATATTTGTCATGCCATGTCAAGCATATGTTTTTTACGTTAATATTACAAGAATGTATACATAAACAGTGTCATTTATTGCAACATGAAAAAATTCTTTAGACGAGTGCTGTTTTTACTGCCTATAAAAAAAGTTTTATATTTTCTTATTGTAATAGAATGCAGGCAATTTAAGAATTATTAAAAATAATTATTAAAATGACTGCGTTTTTTACTTTAGGTACAATGATAATTATACTTTTGAGAGAAAAAATTATAGTTTTGCGAGAGCCATAAATTGCTCCAGTATAAATATATATATATACTTGGCTTTCCATCAAGGCCTGTATATATATATAAATATATATATATGTATATATATACATATATATATATATATATGTACAAAATCGTGACTCCGCCTCCTATAGTAAAACTTCCTCCAATAGTAAAACTTATTCAATTAACCTTATATTCATATTAAACGTTCAAAAAAAATTTCATAAATTTGGCAGAAAAAATTTTTTAAACTATCACGTAATATTTTTTAAAGAATTCAAAGAATTTTTTAAAAATTTTGCTTTAGAGTCGGAGTCAGAGTTGGAGTCGTAGTTGTACTCTGAAAATTTCAACAATTAGAGTTGGAGTCAGTACTTTTTTTTTATGACTCCACACCCCTGGCTATTACTATGGTGCTTCAAAAATGTCTGGTATGGCGCCATACTGAACTCTCACACATGAGTGTCTATCCATATCAGCTTCTGTACACAAAGTTGATTTAATGCTTTTCTTCTTCTTTGAACACAACTGCTTATTTATGAGGACCAGTAAAGTTTTCTCTACATAGAGCAGTTATCAACTTTTGTCAAATTTTGATATTTGATTTTAGACGGAATTCTATAAAAATATTGAATAATAAAACAAAAAAATCACCATAGTATTACCATATATGCTATTACTCTGGTATTTTCGTTATTTTATTAGTCAATATTTTATAGAATATATTTTATTGATATATATCATTGATTTGTGAAATTTCTTGTTGGTGTAGCCTAATGAACCTACGAAAAGTAATTCCATCAGCACAATCATTTGTATCCATAGGCA